CCCTCGTAGTTACCACTTCTTAATCATCGTTTTCATTTATTTGTGAACCAACAGTGAGTTTACAGTCGTGTTAGAACTTCCTGTTTTCTTTGTTTGTATCTCACAGCTAACTTTAGATTCATGTGTGTTTGTAGTTTTTGATACGCAGTAAGAGTGAAACTGTAATGTTTGTTAGCGGAGGGTGAGGTTGTTGTTGTTGTTGTTGTTGTTTTAAGGTGAAAACTGAGGACAATGTTTACACAGTCAAGTCTTTGATGACCAAAGTTTCTTTGTATTATAACTGTAAATGACCTTTTGTGTTTCTTGTGAAAAAAAGTAAAACTAAGTATATTTTGTACATAAATATATGTTGCATTATTTTAACATGGAGGAGAGGAGAGTGAGTTCTTATTAATAAAGAGGTTCAAGCTACGGTCCAGGGTCCGTCTGGTTTTTCTGTGTTGTACCCTACAAACCACAGACGGTAACTACATATGTTCTACAGCAGGGGGGGCAATGACTGCTGTGTTTAACCCAGGGAAGAGAGACTCCAGGCTCGGGGTCCCATTGGAGTCAAAACAGTACCAGATGTGGACGCGCTCACGTGCGATCGTGCACGTAGGACATTTGATAATGACTGGATTCAGCTGTGCCTGTGAACCTCCACACTTCATCCTGCTGCTGACACACACACCATAATAAAACACACCGCACCAGTGCTGTGTGAAGTCCAGTCCAGGGAAGTGGACCTCAGGGTCCTGGACCTCAGGGTCCTGGTCTTTAATCTGGTTTCCTAATCTTTTAATCTCAGTTATTTCTAAGCAGTCTTGTCGTCTAAGTAAAAATCGCAGAGAGAGCTGTGACTCATCTGAGTGACAATCCAATCAAACTGGGTCACATGACGTGTGTCCGTTTCTGTTCCTCAGATCATATCATCAATATGAACTTTACAGAAATATTAGTTCAACATCGTGACTCTCTACAGTCTGTGTCATGTCTGTAATGTCTGTAATGTCTGTGGGAGAGAATCCTGCTGATCGGACTAGAAAGAGCAGAGAAGTCAGCAGGGTAGGCAGGCAGTACTCCGCCTCAACACAAGGGGTTGTACGTAAACTGACAGGTGCTCTCCAACTGGCGTCAACAGGAAGTTGAAAGTCGGCGCCAAACTAGAGGCAGTAGTCGGTGAAGAACAGCGGTTTTTATGCT